CAAACAATGAGTGACATATAGCCATATGTCCTTGGAAGTCATGATTCAACATAACATGTCCATGAATAACTCTTTTAATGTATTATATCCTTTTTGTTCTTTATATCTAGAATAGACACAAGTCTTGGAATAGCCACACTTGTGTAGCCTATTTATTATTTCTTGATATCTAGAGTAGATTATAATAAGCGAATAATTTTGATATCTCATATCAATTTATTTGAGCATGGCCATGCATTTCTAGTCTCACTCAATCAAGTAGAATGTGATATTTTTCATATTATGTATGAAGGACAAATCATATCTTGATCATTCACACCCCACTACATATATTGTGATATGTTCAATGTCAGTCTTTATAGTGCAACCAGTTACAGAGCATGTTTAACTATATCAAAACATACAACAATATATGTTGAGATTGTAATGATCTAAATTTTAAGGATTATACATATAGATGTCACTATGAGTAATATCGTGACTATCACATAATAATCTAACGCATATGCTCATAGTGGGTCAATCCAATATATTGTTCTCTAACAATATATTCATGTATTAATTTTATCATCTCTATGTCAATGACAACTCATTGTCATTAATCAATAACATGATTGTCTTAAGCGTATTATTACTATCCATGCCCATAATAATACTTAACTAAGGATCTTTTAATAATAATCACATTAATATACGGACATTATTGTTTTTTAGTTTATTTAATGTACATAAATACAATAAAAGAAAACAATGGTAATGTTGTTATTTGATAAATACAATAAATAAAATATGTCAATACAATCATCATAAGATTGGCCTTTGGGCATATTCTAATATTACCAAATTATCCTTGAGATATATTTTATTTTTTAACAATTTGAATTATCAATAGGCATAATACCAAAGATATCACCCCCAACGTTTACCAAAATGGTCATTTTGGCCCCTAACGTTTCACTTTGGGGCAAAAAGCTCCCTCTATAGATGAAAACTATTAGTTAACACATGATTAACGCTCCAAAATAAGAGCCTTTTTAACTTAAAATGAAATGTTGAGGCTAAAATGCCCCCATAAAAAAGAATAAGGGACAAAGTGATTATTCTATCAACTATTAGGGGCCTTTTTGCCATAAAATGAAACGTTGTGGGCCAAAATGCACCAAAAATAGAATATGGAGAAATGAACATTTTAGTAAATATTAGGGACTAATTTTGACACTATGCATTCTCAATGTTAAAGTTAAAATATTTAAATGAAAGTTTATATGAAATATATTTATTATTATTATTTCTAATTTATATATTTTTAAATTAGTTTTTACAAAAAATAGTTAATATATAATTTTCTTACTATTTTAAATTTTTATTTCTTTGAAAATACAGAATCATGCTTACATCAATATAATTATGTTTATTTTTGTACCAAGATATCGAGAGATATATACATACATTGGTGTATGTGTCAATTGGTACAATATCGTATTTTATCCATGCTACATGTATGAGTTGTACAACAAAATATCATATCAAATTGCTTGATAGAATTAATAGAAAGCATAAAAATATAATATAAAAACCTTTTAAAAGTAATAAATCACATACCAAAAATAAAACACGAATAAAAACATACATAATAAATAATCAAAATAAAATAAAAATTTGATATTTTTATTTTTACTTTTTATTTTATATGCATCATATTATTTTATAATAAATATTAAAAAATCTAAAGCTATTACAAAAGAAATAATAAAAAATTATAATCATGTAATTATATATAAAATTAAGGATCATTTTAAAATAACTATATTATTTTATAGGTAGTATAATCCTATGGGGAGGAGATTGTCTAAGCTAAGAAAAGAGAGGGAATGCCATTTCTAAGAAAAGACCAAAAAAATTATCACTATTGGGAATACATTACCCCGATAGGGAATGCTCTTAAATTAAATATGGGGATGTGATTTCGAAAAAAGATATTCCCGCTGATAATGATATTTTCATGAATCAAATACTTCCTTAGTGGTTTAAAGGAGTGTTATTCTCTTGAGGTCATAAGTTCGAGTAGATGCACCTACAAAGTGTGTGTAATGTTAATATTTAAAAAAATTTAAGCAAATCCTATCTTATAATCACCTCCATATTATTGAAAAAAAATCAATGATGGTAATGATGTTTACAAACGTAATTATGTATAGAATATGTTTTATGTATTGCTTTAAAATATTTAAAATATATTACTATATAACAATTATATGTATTGGTTACAGTGTCTTAAGCACACACTCATCAAAGTCTTGTGAACAGGGGTATATCGATAGTAGAGGAATGCTCGATTTGTGTTCGTTCGAAAATTTTGTTATTTGACTCGACTCGTTATTTATTATGTTACTTTAAATTTTGTTCGACTTATATTTGTTAAAAAAATTATTATTCGACTTGATTTTCTGCTCTTTACACTCATAAATTTTTGAGTAAGACAATTAAGATTTGATTTTTAGATGCAGTAAATTAATAACTAACAAATAATAATTTTTTTTCCTTATTGTTTACTAAAACGTTAATAGATTAATAAATTAATAGTAATATTAATTTATAATTTAATATAAATTAATAGTAATTATTAATTTATAATTTAACATCTTTCGTATTATCTATTTATAAATTAGTAATTATAATTTAGATTTTTTTCAATGTAATATATTTAAAGATATTATTAAAATTATAAAAACAAATTAACGAATTATCCGCGAACTTAACGAGTCAAGTTAGACCTTTCTCGACTCAATGGTTAAAATCTCGAATTGAATCAATCTGAATCGAACATTTATTGAATTTTAACCGAGATCGTTGAACTCATTAAACACGCTAACTATTAATGATTAAAAAATGTGTACCCGATGTAACTATTGTTTGGTGTGGGTCCTACTATGTGGGGAACTCATCACCAAAAAATAGGTTGCAACTTAAAAACGGGTTGCTTGTTTGTTGTTGTTGTTTTGGTAAAATGACATTTATTATTTTTGTCTTTGACTTTGACAAAAAGACATTTTGTTTTTTGTCTCGTGTGCATGGACAATCTTTACATATCAACAAAATCAGTTTTTTGAAAGAAAAAAAAACATGAGAGAAGTTTCATATTCGAGAGAAAACAAGAGGAAAAAATAATTTTTGTGAAGTTTACACATTAGTGATCAACTCTTCGATCGGAGGTCCATTTATGATTCTATTGAGCTTATTTTTGGATAATAGCTAGGCGACAGGGTGTCCTTGACTTTGTACAGTGAGATTTGTCATCTAAGTCTAATAGCATCAAAAATACTCATTTTCAACAGGCTGAGTTTTTTTATGTTCTCCTATTTTTCTCTTTTTGCTGAAGATTGCTAATTGCTAGCATTGTTGGAGTTGTATGCTTGTTGTAGGTTTGATTTTGTGATATTGTAGTTGAACATTTGTTTATGGTAGAATTTTTTATCGGACTCTAAAGCCCCGTGATTTTTAACCTTTATTTAGAGGTTTTTCATGTAAAAATATTGATATATCTATTTATTTACGTTGTGGTTAATTAGTATTGCTGGAGAACATATTTTGTACTATTATGTTTGTCATAAATGTGCTTCCACTTGATTTTGATTGTTCCGTTTCTTCCTAACAACTATTGCTTGGTTGTCGTAGTTGACCCCAAATATAGTGTGATTAAGACTCGTACGTCGGTTTGTTTGAAAACTTAACTTCACCATCTAACTAATCAAAATCATAAAATTATAAGGGGAAAAACAAAAACAAAAAAAAATGGGAATATTCTAGTTTGGTGAAATGGAGCTGTGATCTACATTAGAGATGCACAAAAAATATGAAATCCGATTTTACCTAAAAAATATCTGAAACTGGATTTTGAAAAAACCGGTTTTTTTAAACCGGATCGGATATTTAAAAACGGATAGTATAACCGGTTTGGGAAAAAATTGAACGACCGGTTTTTTTACCGATTAAAAACCGGTTTTTTTTCAAACCGGATAAAAAATCGGTTTTTATCCGAAAAAATCCGGTTTTTTTAAAAAACCGGATTTTTATCTGAAAAAATCCGGTTTTTTTACAAACCGAAACCGGTTACACCATCCGGCCCTCCAAACCGATTAGGATCCGATCCGGTTTTTTTTAAATCCGGTTTTTGGGTTGGGGGAAAAACCGGATCGGTTTTTATCCGATCCGGATCGGATTGAAATCCGGCTTTTGTGCATCTCTATCTACATCTTTAAAATGTTTTTCTTTTCTTTTTTATTTTTTTAGATTAATTAAATCTTGGTTGCAACGAACTAATGAGATGAAGCAGCTTTTTTCCAAGGATAAAATGGGCTGAGGCAGTACTTTATATTCTCAATCTAAAAAAAATGAATCCAAAGGAAATAGTTGGCATATATGGTAAACTAGTTAATATCAGCCAAATATAATCAAACACGACAAAATTTGAAGTTTAGGACATCAAGGACAAAACATTAGCAACGTAGACATAAAGGGTCTGAAATGAAAGCATATTTCAAAGTACCATATTCATTCTCAAACCACGCATCATCATGGTCATAGACGGAGAAGAATATCCCTAGCTAGTTTACAATCCAAATCCATAGAATTACACATATATAAAGATTAGAAAGTTCAACAGTGAAGAAGAGATGGAGGAAAAAACAAAGGAAAAGCGATGAGGATTTACCTAAGTCCTAACCATGGTTGGTCCGTAGAAGAAAAGAACCCTAAGGAACCCAAATATCTCCTAGGGTTGCATGCAAAATGCTTTCAGCTCCACATCCATTCATGGAGTTATACTACTAAATGCAAAAGGGCTAATACTTTCCAAAGTTTAGCCACACTGAATTTACAAGTAGAACCAAAAAACATTATCTTCTCTTTCTCTAAGAGAAGACAGTTTTGCTTCAGACATATTATGATAAATCTGAAGTGATGATTTCTGAAACAAAAACAAATTTTTTAAAATATGACTACATTTTGTCCTAGTTTCTAAGCCCCTACGACTAAATCTCAATGCACAAAAAAAGGGAATAAATAACTTGGGGGCATACAATGCCCTCAGCTTTTTTGCTAAAAACTGCCTCGTTGTCAAAAGAGGTGATTAGCCATTTATGTGAGGCTTGCTTTTTGTTTTGTTGAAATTTACAGTTATTGCAAACCATTTTGTTTTGTTTATGAGCCTCCTAGGCTAAAAGTAACTAAAAAGTCTGTTTTAGTCTGCCTTTTTCCAGGGCACAAAAACTTTTCCCAACTTAGCTGATCCAATAGCTGAAGTTGGGCTTTAGATAAAAATGCTTTGGTTCTCTTCATGGAACCCTTGCCTGAAAACGATGCACTGGGAAAAATAAACATGCATGATCCTCCAGTTCCGGAGGTGGTGCCCCTATAGGGGGCATTTCTAGTGTTTGAAGGCCCAGAGGCCAACCTTGGGCTGGGCCTTTGAATCGAGTTAAAGGGAGAATTAGAACCATGGTTAGACCAAAGGTGAAATTTAGAGAAGCTGAGTAACTTTCCGAGTAGCTAGCTACGCTTGGAATGAGTCTCTTCAAAGATGTGGGATTGTAGATGCATGAAGAGACATGGTCGCGCCTGTGGAACAGCAATTACCATCTTTTTCCAGTGAATAAGAAATATGATTGCATGTCATTTGAGGAAATTGATTTAAATACTATTAGTACAAACCTGATTGCAAGGGTGGAGTAGGAGCAAGAGACATGGGTGCACCATAGTGCTGTGGGTAACTCCCAGTAGAGAACTGAAAGAGGTGATGTGCATACTGAACACCATATCCTTGGCCGGAAGAGTAGGCGGTTGCTCCGTCCCCGGTTCCTTCTCCGAATTGAAGATAGGGGTAGAATGTTGTTCCGGCACCAGTGATCAACCCATCCGGCCCGGCACCGTACATTGGGAACTGTGCAGCGGCCCCTCCATACACATTGTAGTAGCTCTGAACCATAACACACAATTGCAAACAGTTAGTAATATTGCTCAACATATGCATGTGGGGACAACAACAGACTTTATGGCCATGAAAATGCAACTTTCAGAATCATTTGTAAAAACACTCAATTGGAACAAACCTGGCTAGGAGTAGGAATGAAGACTGGTAAATGTTTCACACAAAATTTTAGAAGAACAATGGAGAGGGATGGACCAACGTTCCAATTTCTAATGATGAAGCTGTTGAGGACAAAGCAAAGACACCAACAGCTGTATGCTTAAGGAAATGCAAGTGCTAATGTCAAATTCTGGGCGAATCAGTACAAAGACTCTGACCCTAGTCAGACGTACAGACAACATGTTTCACCCCATGTTTGTCATCCTTTAATTTTATTGGCTAATATTACCAACACGAAAAACACTTTATTCAACTAGATTTATGTTTGGTGCATGTTAATAATATAAATGTATACACTGACATTAAATTATAATAATATCATAGATTTAAATTACGGATGCGATCACGTTTTCAATTATATTGTATCTATCGAGACTACGGATATAACGGGTGTTATTGCGATCATTATAAATATCGTGATCATGCAACATCGATTTAAGACAACACTATTACCGTTATATAACGGTTATTATTCTAATAACAAATCACTATTTAAATCTCAATTTTATATTAATATTTAAATTTATAGGCTTATATTTTATCAAACACAAAACTATATTAAATTATTGGTCAAAAAAGAATGACAGAAAAGTGGAACAAAACTATCTTCCTCCCGCCAGCTACGACCAGCGAAAAAGTAAGGAAAATTAGCTTTTCCTCTTGCCGCCAACCCTGGCTTATTATTTGATTATTGTTTATTAATTTAAACCATCGTAAAGTTTATTATTAATCGCTTCACGTAATTAGGATTATTTTCCATTTTAAGAGGAAAAAAAAAGTGAATTTGAAACCGTGAAGATAAAGCAAAAAGAAAAGGAGAAATATTGAGAGAGATAGAGGGAGAAATGTATACAAACCGTGGTATAATTAGAGTAATCCGGTGAGTATGAAGAGTACCTAAAAGAATGGGAGAAGGAAATAAAGTTTAGCCAAATCACATTAATTAGCATTTTAGATCAACGCAGAAACATGCAATATGATATTATAACTCGGGCATGCATGCACAGTATTTTGAAAACCGGACTGGACCGCCGGTTCAACCGGGAACCGTTGCCTAGTCCGGTTCAATCTACACCGGTTGAACCGCTACTAGTGAACCGACCAGAACCGCTAACAGTTCGAACCAGACCGGCTGAAAACCGGAAAAAAAACAGCCAATTTTGTTTTTTTTTTAAATTAAACCAAACAACGTCGTTTGCTAAACGAGCCAAGTCGAACTCGAGTATTGCTAAGCTCGACTCGAACTTTAAAACTTTAAAAGTAAACTCAACTAAAACTCACAAGCTAAAAATTATCAAGTTCAACTCAAACTCGAAATATAATAACTTGAACTCAAAAAGGCTTGATCTCAAAAAAAATTTAGAAGCTCGATTGAAGCCTAAAATTCGAGTTTGATTGAAGTGAAAGACTAGTTTACTCAATGCTCACCAAAAGGCTCCATAATTTTTAATGCCAAATTACCTCTATTATTTATAGAAGTTAGTTGTGATGCTCTTATATGTTTCTTAGCATGTGGGATTGTTTTGTTCTCATATTTTTACTCTTTAGACTTTTGGGATGCTCTTCTATGTTTCTTAGCCATGTGAGATTGTTATTTTTTTAAAAAAAATTAAACCAAAATTAAACCAAACAATATCATTTTGTTATTTTTTTTTTAGACCCAAATTTAAATTTAATTATTATTATATAATTATATTTATTATTTAATATGTTTTACCTTAAATATTATGTTGTAGTTAATTTGAATCATTTTGTTTCACTTGATTTTATGGTTTTTAACTTATATATGTTATGACTTGCTTTGAATATGACTTGTGATATAAAAAATTATTTTTTATTAAATATTTTTGATATTTTTATTTAATTTTTTAAAATAATTATGACGTCATCCGGTTCTTCCGATCGTCGGACCAGTGCGACCGGTTAACCAGTAAACCGGTAGTATGGTCGGTTCGCTAACCGGTCCGATTCTGAAAACCATGTGCATGCATGTGCATTTTGCATGCAAAAGCATAACATATAATACTCTTAAATATAATAATAAAACTTAAATTTATATATGAAATTTCATGTGCACTACATTCAAAACATCACATGAATGTTCATCATTATATTCGAGATATATATATAGAGAGAGAGAGAGAAATAGGTAGAATAAGTTAGAGAGAGAAGATGTAATAATAATGTGTTTGTTAATTAGTTTAATAGCACGCGAGGAAGAGAAGAGAGAAGTATTATGCATACCCATAAAGATTACAAGGGATCCCTTGTTGGATGGCATAATGAGGGGGGAAGGTTGCTGCCGAAGCAAAAGCTGTTGCATTTCCCCCTCCTCCTCCAAACCCTGTCTGGAATGTGCTCATTACCCTAAAATTCCTGCCTGCAAACACCAAACCCCACCATTTCATATTTATCAAATCAACTTTTTTTTTATTAATGATGAACACAATATAATATCTATTAAAATATTCTCACTCAATGCACCGTATACACCCCACATAGAGTTTAGTTTGTGCTTAAATCACTCCTTTTTAAAATCCAAAACAACTAAACAATATTGGTCCTTTAATGCATGAATGAATTTCAAGCCCTAATAACAAACAGAAGAGGACATCATTTAGTAAACTTCCCATGCAGCATTACGATCATAATTTAGTAAAATTTTCCACTTGCTGAGGAATATTCGTCGCTACATTCCATGGTGAATTTTATTTTTTTTGCATGAAAATGGAATGTTTGCTTGGGCCACCTTTCTTTTTACTGAGAACGTTAAGTATATAGTAACCGCTTGCTAAACTTGATGATAACTAACTAACAATAAAGAAAAAAGGGAAGAAAAAAAAAAGAAATGACATAATTGATCTTTTTCTCCAGATCTGAAATATTTATGCGATCACCTAAATCCTAATAAATTCAGATAAAAAAGAACAAAGATCATTGGGAAACAAGTGGAATGAAGAAAAAAGAAGCGGTTCATCACCATGTTTTGGAGTAGAGGGCTTGGATCTTTGAACACCCAAAGAAGCAAGGTTGCAGTTAGCCCTTCTCCCGTCGATCACCGGAGCCGCATCCACGCAAGCTCTCATGGCCGCATCCGGTTCTTTAAACGTCACCTATCAATATCAATAACCATAATTATCCAAAGCAAAACAATACATTTTCAATCTCCATTTTCACCAAACGATCAATTCCGTTTCATTTTCCTTTTAGAACAGATGGGTAGTTACTAGATCAATAAGAAATATCATATGTGAATGAAGAATGAAGTTAATGAACAGAAAGGGAAGGGAGTATACGAATCCATAGCCTTTAGATCTGCCGGTGGCCTTATCGGTGATGACGACGGCCTCCAAGATGTCACCGAATTGCTCAAAGTACTTCTTCATGGTATCCTTGTGAGTCTCCCAAGCCAGACCTCCAACAAACACCTTAGTGTAAGTGGTGTCACCGAATGGCCCTGTCAAATTAGCTGGAGTCATCTTCTTCTTCCTCCTTTTAATAATCTTCTTCTACGTTGCTGCCAAAATCTAACGAATCAGAATTCACGAGAGCTTTCTCTGATGTGTTATTGTTTTTCTTCTTCTTCTTCTTCTTCTTCTTCAGTTCATTCTCTAACAATCAAATGAATTATTTGTAGAGAAGAATGGGAAAGAAATTATTTGATATTCGAATAAAAAATATATGAGTAACTTAAAAAATATATGAAATTTTTAATTTTTAAATTAAATTATTAATATTAATAGTTTATATGTTTGATTTTTTAAAATATAATATAAGACGTTTGTATAGTTAAATTTTAGATTAGAGCTTTAGTTGAATTTTAATTGAATTAAATCTGAAAATATTTTTAAATTCAAATATTTTGAACTCAAATTAAATTTTAATTTTTAATTTTAAATTCGAGTTTAATTTAAAAATTTAAACTCAAAAATTTTAAAATAATTCAAATTTAATTTATTTTTTTTAAAAATCAAATCAAATTCAACCAGATTCTTTTACCTCCGTACGTCTCATTCTCTCCCTTCGCTTATGTTTTGTATGCTCGGGACATCACGCTCGATTTCGAGAGTGGGGTTTAGTATCCGCAGAATTATTATTTGCGCTTGGCTTAGCTGTACCTTCTATTATTTTAGTTTGAAGGACAGGAAGGAAATGATATTTATGCCCTCTGCTTTTGAGATAACTACGTGGCTTACCATGGAGATTTGGAACTATTGGTGCAGGGGTCCTTAGTGGCAGAAACGGAACGGGGAAATTAAGGAAACGCAGGAGGTCAACGGTCAATCATCCAATTCCTTGTTGCTTCTGTCTAAAGCTGCGATTCTGTGTATCTTTCTGTTTTTTTAACCCAATTAAAAAAAATACAAAGGAATTACTATTTGAGATGTGGCGTTAAAAAAAATAAAATATTAAATCAAGCTGTCAATTTTCATTTTAACTTTTTTCTTGCAATTAACTTTGGTTTTAATTCAAAAGCCCAATACGATTTGCACTCGTTTAGTTTTAGCTAGTAATTATTCCTACCTACACTAGTTTGAATAAGAAATTATAAATTCAAAACATATCGAAATTGAATTATTTAAACAAAATAATTTTTTAATAAAATAATTAAAATAACCTAATTTTATATTAAACCATTTTATATCTACCATCGATCTTTTAATTTTGTCAGGTAGACATCTAAATATTTAATTGTACTCAATCAAGTTACTTATCATTAATATCGGATGAAAGTGTTGATGCGTTAGTTAATAAAATTAGTATAATTCTACATTTAGTCATCAATACTTATACATTATATTAATATAGTTCTAATTAGGGGTGAGTAAAACTCGACTTGACTTGAAAAATCGATTTTTTTCAATTCGATTTATTCAAGTCAACTCAAGTTTTTAATTCGGTTTTCGAGTTCGAGTCGAGTTGAAATTTTGAGTTACTCAAAAGTAATTTAAGATTATATTTGATATATTAAATAACATTTTGAGCTACTAATGACACGTGTCACCACCTGATTTAAAGATTTTTAAAATTATTTTATTTTATTTATAAAATTTCTATAAAAACTTAATTTTATTTAATTAAATAAACAGTGACACATGTCCCCTCTAATTGGATACTCTAATTGGATAGAAAATAAGCTTAAGGTAAAATATGAATTTGTGGCGTTTGCCTCCAAACCAAATACGTTATTTGATTAATTCTTTAACTTCTATCTATTGTATAATATTATTAAGGATAAAAAAAAGAAATAATAACATTAAAATTATATTTAGTTGTCGCAACTGTCTTTCGGGTGGGCCCGAAATTGGGCTTCGACTTGAAATGATTGGGTTAGAGTCGCCACCGATCATTTTAAATGATATTTAGGTAGATCGGACACCATCTTACCTGATCTGTGTTTTAGCAGAAATATGTCGGGTTCGGGAGTCAGTTACGGGCAAGGAAGGATTAACACTTTTGAACCGCCCTTTCGGTACCAATTAATTTTACGGTTGTCTTTATTTGCGAAAATTAAAAAATTTAAATTACCTACCTTTGATCGATTGAAATTACCACTGAAAATGTCAAAAATGCTAGATGGTAAAAATAAAAATAAAAGAGAAGAGAAAAAAAGAAAAAATATACATATATATATATATAAATATAAATATAATAATAAAATAAAATAAATGGTAAAGATAGACAAAAGTTAATAAAAAAAGAAATATAAAATAGTAATAAAATAAAATATAAGAAAAATAATAAGGTTAGTTTTAAAAAATAGAAAAAAAAAGATAATGTAGAATATGTATAATACAAAAAAAATAAAAGGAATAAATAAAATGTATATATACAAGAGTAGTATCGATTAAATAATAATAAAAAATAAAAAATTAAGATAATATAAAATAGAACATAAAAAGGACTTAATTGAAATAATACTAAAACTGAGGGTAAAATTAAAAAGAAATTGAAGTACAAGACTGCTTTAGGGGTCCAAATGAAATATTTCAAAATCAAGGGGACCAAAACATAATTTACCCTTTCCACGCTTGAAAACATGCGGACCCTGGGCTATGGATCGGTCACGCGCGGGTCGGCCACGGGGTCGTATATAACCTAAAAACACCCTCATTTCTTTCATTCTTCACATTTTCTCCAAAAACCTCCATCTCTCTGACATTTAGAGTGCTCTCGCTCTCTCTAGCCAATCCCCCTAGAGGGATACCCGGCCACCGCTGGCCGCCATGCTCCATCGTCGGCCGCCGCTCGACTACTGGAAAAAGACCCGAACCCACCAAAACGCTCCTCTCAAACCCGTGAACCCGAATCCGACCTCTAAATCGCCAAAATCAACCCCAGTAAACGTAGATCTAAAGGAAACCCTTCGGCACCTACCTTTTCTGGTGACCTTTCACTTCTCAGCGCCTTTTCCAGTTGAGGCTTCGTCTTTTGATCTTTTTACGTGCTTGTTTTGATTTATTTGTTGTGGGGCTTCGGCCTTTGGTTTGTGTTTCTTGATGTTCTCGATCTGTTGGATGCATTTTTTTTGTGTTCGAAGTTGTGTGCTTTTGTGGCTTGTTGGCTATTTGTGTATTGGTTTACTATGTTTGCAGTATTCTGGGATCGTTAATGGTTCGTTGTTCCACTGGGTTATGTCTCTCTCTATAGACGTCCCCTTGTTCGATGATGGTGGGGGTATTTATACCCCACCGCGTTGGGTTGTTTCCGTTCTTTTCGGTATGTTATTTGTTTGACCGGCTAAAACGGGATGGGTCAGTCCCGATTTAGCCAGGACTTGCTGTTCGTGGCCGGTTTTCGTTCTCGATCTGTTGGATGCTTTTTTTTGTGTTCGAAGTTGTGTGCTTTTGTGGCTTGTTGGCTATTTGTGTATTGGTTTACTATGTTTGCAGTATTCTGGGATCGTTAATGGTTCGTTGTTCCACTGGTTATGTCTCTCTCTATAGACGTCCCCTTGTTCGATGATGGTGGGGGTATTTATACCCCACCGCCGTTGGGTTGTTTCCGTTCTTTTCGGTATGTTATTTATTTGACCGGCTAAAACGGGATGGGTCAGTCCCGATTTAGCAGGACTTGCTGTTCGTGGCCGGTTTTCGGTCGGATACTTCACATGGTCTCTCGGCGACTGTTGACTGTCTCTGTGCGACGCCTGATGAACGTTGGAAACCATAACATTCAGGTTTTGTTTCTGGGCTGGGTCAGGCCTCAAACCTACTGGACTTGATTTGAACCCCTTTTGGACCCTGACAAAAAAAATACAGATATAAATAATAATAAATAAATAAAAATAGAATAAATAATAAAATAAAAAATGTTTTCTAAAACTTATTTCAAAAAATGTTTTCCAAATTTTTTTTTTAAAAAAACTATATATTATATATGTTTTCAAAAATGTTTTAAAAACTATATAATATATGTTTTTAAAAATGTTTTCAAAAACTATATAACATATGTTTTTTAAAAATGTTTTCAAAAACTATATATTATATATATTTTAAAAATGTTTTCAAAAATTATATAATATATGTTTTTTAAAAACGTTTTCAAAAACTATATATTATATATATTTTAAAAATGTTTTCAAAAACTATATATTATATATATTTTCAAAAGAATTTTCAAAAACTATATATCATATATATGTTAAAATTTTCAAAACTATATAATATATATATTTTTCGAAATATTTTCAAAACTTTTTTCTAAAACTTATATTTTTCCAAAAACATTTGCAAAAATTAAACTATATTACTATATATATATATATAATAAAATAAAATAAAAACAAATCCGGACGAAAATGAGTGTATACAGCTTCCCCTCTTTATCATTTTTCGTGGAACGAAAAGTAGGACAAAGATAAAAAGACACAAATTTTCGTTCGGTGGAGTTGAAAATTGAATCTGATATTTCAATTAAGAATAACTCCCTGTCGAATTGAATTGCGGATGACTCCTTTGTCGTGAAGTCGAGTTCATCTTGAAATGAAATTGAAACCGTAGTTCGGAATTTGAATCGGAATGTGGCTTCTCATTGTAGTCCGCTTCGATCTTCTTCTCGGTTTAAAGACCTTGGTTTTAAAATTCGACTGGAAAGATAGTTCTTTGACTCCACCCTGTGGTTGAAATGCCCTCGAGCTTAATGAAATTGAACTCGAAAGGTCTTCGTTGACAGATAGATTTTCTCGACTGAAGTTATGCTGCCGGAAAACAATTTCTTGTCACTAAGGCACGGCTAACCCAGGTCATCTTCTTAACTTGTAAACCTCGGCTACCACCGGACAGTAGTGTGAATGATGTGTCATCGAGCTGAATGGAATCGAACTCGACAATTTTTATTGACAGATAGCTTTTCTCGACTTAAGCTATAATGTAAATTTGACACGCGCTTGAGCTGAATGGAATCGAACTCGAAGGTATTGGCTGACAGATAACCCTTCTAGCCTCGAGTTATGCTGCAACGGATGTGCCCACGATGCTAAGTATAATCGAGGTCTTTGGCAGATATACCTTCTTGCCTTAAGCTATGCTGCAAATGATATGCCTGGAGCTGAGTGTAATCGAACTCGAGGGTCTCTGGCAGATAGCCCTTCTAGCCTTTAACTATACTGCAAATGATGTGCCTTTGAGCTGAGTGTAATCGAACTCAAAGGTCTTTGTTAACAAATAACCCTTCTAGCCTTGAGTTATACTGTAAATGATGTGCCCTCGAAGCTAAGCGTAGTCAAACTCGAAGGACTTTTGGTGGTAGATAACCCTTCTAGCCTTGAGCTATGCTACAAATGATAAGCCTTGGAGCTGAGCGTAGTCGTACTCGAAGGTATTTGGTTGGCATATAACTCTTCTAGCCTTGAGTTATGTTGCAAATGATGTGTCTGGGAGCTGAGCGTAGTCGAACTCGAAGGTCTTTTGTAGGCAAATAACCCTTCTCGACTTAAGCTATGCTGCAAATGATGTGCCTTTGAGCTGAGCATAGTCAAAATCGAAGGTCTTTGTTGATAGATAACCCTTCTAGCCTTGAGTTATGCTATAAATGATGTGCCCTCGAAGCTAAGTGTAATCAAACTTGAGGGTCTTTGGCAGATAGCCCTTCTATTTTTGAGCTATACTACAAATGATGTGCCTTGGAGCTGAGCGTAGTCAAACTCGAAGGTCTTTTGTTGGTAGATAACCCTTCTAGCCTTGAGTTATGCTTCAAATGATATGCCTTGGAGCTGAGCGTAGTAGAACTCGAAGGTCTTTGGTTGGTAGATAACCCTTCTAGCCTTGAACTATGCTGCAAATGATGTGACTTGGAGCTGAACGTAGTCGAACTCAAACGTATTTGGTTGGAAGATAACCCTTCTAGCCTTGATTCATACTGCAAATAATGTACCTTAGAGCTGAGCGTAGTCAAACTTGAAGGTATTTTGTTGGTTGATAGCCCTTCTCGACTTAAGCTATGTTGTAAATGATTTCTTTAAAAAATGGCTTCCCTTCATGGGTCTAAGCCGGTCATAATTTTCAGGTGGTTCCTTTGAGCGGGTCTGAACCAAGTAATATGATTTTTGGATGACTCCCGTTCATGGGAAAGCCCACTGATAAATTCTGTCAGCCAGTTATCTTCCGTCGTAAATTGAAATCTGGCTTGAAAATGTTAATTGAAAATCTGCTTCTCGTTATTGAGTTAAGCTGATCTGGATTCGTTCTGAATTAACTCTTGAACCCATCTGAAATTGATTCTGAGATCTAGATATGTCAAGTCAGTTGAGGTGTTGCTTCTCACTGTTGAGTCAAGCAACCACCATTGATCTTTAAGGAGCTTTCGAATCGAGTATCTTTCGTCATGAAGTCAAAACTTGACTCTGAAAGCTGCAAAAAATTATGAATGTGAAAAATGATAAATTTAATGCTCTTAAGTATGTCTAAGATGCATGCAATATGAATTAGCCTTGGACGAAGTAGTATCGATTAAATAATAATAAAAAAATTAAGATAATATAAAATAGAACATAAAAAGGACTTAATTGAAATAATACTAAAACTAAGGGTAAAATTAAGAAGAAATCGAAGTACAAGACTGTTTTAGGGGTCCAAATGAAATATTTCAAAATCAGGGGGACCAAAACATAATTTACCCTTTCCACGCTTGAAAACGCGCGGACCCTGCGCTTGGATCGGGTCGCGAGCGAGTCGAGCCATGGGTCGTATATAACCTAAAAACACCTCTATTTCCTTCATTCTTCACATTTTCTCCAAAACCCTTTTTGTCTCTAACCAATCCCCCTGGGCCGATCGCCATGCTCCGTCGTCGGCCACCGCTCCTGCCGGCGACCGGAAAAAGACCCGAACCCACCAAAACGCTCCTCTCAAACCCGTGAACCTGAATCCGACCTCTAAATCGCCAAAATCAACCCTAGTAAATATAGATATAAAGGAAACCCTTCTACACCTACCCTTTTCTGGCGATCTTTTCAATTCTCAAGGACTTTTCCAGTTGAGGCTTCGACTTTCGATCTTTTTACGTGCTTGTTTTGATTTATTTGTTATGGGGCTTTGGCCTTTGCTTTGTGTTTGTTGATATTCTCGATCTGTTGGATGCGTTTTTTTGTGTTCGAAGTTGTGTGCTTTTGTGGCTTGTTGGCTATTTGTATATTGGTTTACTATGTTGGCAGTATTCTGGGATCGTGATGGTTCGTTGTTCCACTGGGTTTTGTCTCTCTCTGTAGATGTACCATTCTTCGATGATGATGGGGGTATTTATACCCCCGTCGTTGGGTCGTTTCCGTTCTTTTCGGTATGTTATTTATTTGACCGGCTAAAACAGGATGGGTCAGTCTCGGTTTAGCTGGGACTCGTTGTTCGTGGCCGGTTTTCAGCCGGATACTTTGTATGGTCGCTCGGTAACTGTTGATTGTCTCTGTGCGACGCCTGACGAACGTTGGAAACCCTAGCATTCAGGTTTTGTTTCTGGGCTGGGTAAGGCCCCAAACCTACTGAACTGGATTTAGACCCCTTTTGGACCCTAAAAAAATACAGAAATAAATAATAATAATAATAATAAATAAATAATAATAATAATAATAATAATAAATAGATAAAAATAGAATAAATAATAAAATAAATTTATTTTCTACACCTTATTTCAAAAAATGTTTTCCAAAAAAATATTTTAAA